ATACACATCGCCAAAATAGATTTCAGAAAAGTGGTGCTGATTCACACTGCCTTCAGCGGCTTTCATGTGTTCCTGTGCGATAGAAGGGCTTGTCCGTCATTACCAGCCCCGTCTCTTCGCAGTTAGATGCAACTGATCGCTCTCTTTCTCAGACTCTAGAACGATACTCTCTGTCAAATGCACAAAATGCTTCACAGTATAAGGGAGCACCTAGGTGGCTGGGTCAGCTAAGCATCTGACTTCAGCTCAGGTCATGGTCTTAGCTCATGGGTTCGAGCCCTGCATCGGGCTCTCTGTTGTTGGCATGGAGCCCGCTTCAGTTCCTGTCTCCCTCTTCCCCTCCCCAGCTCGTGCTTTCTCTCTGTCTCAAAAATAAGTAAAAACATTTAAGAGAATTTTTTTTAATTAAGGAGAGAGAAAGAGTCTCTCATGAGTCTTTTATTTTTTAATGTTTTATTTATTTCTGAGAGAGAGAGACAGCGTGAGCAGCAAAGGGTCAGAGAGAGAGGGAGACACAGAATCTGAAACAGACTCCAAGCTCTGAGCTGTCAGCACAGAGCCCGACACAGGGCTCAAACCCACAAACCGTGAGATCATGACCTGAGCCGAAGTCGGACGCTTAACCGAGTGAGCCACCCAGGAGCCCCTCATGAGTCTTTTCTATGTTCTCAGACTCATATCTTCCTCCAACCCCCTAAATGATAAGATCCTACAGACTTGTCCTTGGTTCCCTCATTCCAACCTCGCCATGAGCCAGTATTACCTGGGCCTCCATCTTCTACATCTACAATCCTTATTTCCACATCTCCATGTCTCTTCTAGACCTGTTGTTTACAGCTGCCTACTGATCATTTCTATGAGGATAATAACCCATCTCAATCCTACATTTGAAATAAAATTATTATCTCCTCTACTCCAAACTGATCCTTTTTAATGGGTTTTCAATCTCAGTTCACAGCCTAATCATCTTCTTCACCCAAGCTAGAACCCATGGGTGGCCATGACTCCACTTCTCCTTTACCAGCACATTGTAGTCCATCACAGAGCCTATCGGCTCTACTGCAAGAGTGTCCTAGAATTCCCTCATCTGCACTGTCGGAACCACACTTTCAGTTCTGAACCCTAAGTGTCTTGTTAAAGGCATTTAAAAAAATTTTTTTATGTTTTTATTTATTTTTGAGAGAGAGAGAGCACGAGCAGGGGAAGAGCAGAGAGAGAGGGAGACACAGAATTAGAAGCAGGCTCCAGGCTCTGAGCTGTCAGCACAGAGCTCGATGCAGGGTTCCAACTCACGAACCATGAGATTGTGACCTGAGCCACCCAGACGCCCTGTCAAAGGCATTTTAATAGCCATCAGGCCTGGAGTGTCTCCATGTTCCTATATTTCTCTGTAGTTGTTTTCTTTTTTTAAACATGAATTGGGCCATGTCACTTCCATGTGTCATAATTGTGGATGATTTCCATGTGCTCCTTGACAAACCAGACCTTCTAAAACCTAGGCCCCAACCTACCTATCTAGTCTTACCTCACCAGAAGCTATACTCCAGCCACATGCAACTGCTTATTATTTCCCAAACACACTCTTGTGCAACTCATTCTGTCTCATGGCAAAGTCTTATTTATCTCAAAGGCCTGCTCAAATCTTATCATTTTCTCAGAAGACTTTCCAACCTCTTTCTCTTCTAAATAGAAAGCTTTGTATTAATTGCAACTTTTTCTCCATTCCAATGGCATGGCTTTTACACTTCTATTTTACTGTTTATCACATGATCTCATAATTGTCTGTTTCTCCCACTAGATACTGATGATCTCAAAAGCAGGGATCATGGAACCCCAGAACCCAACACACCATGGGCCTAGCATATGGTGGGTGCCCACTATGTGTCTAGGAAAGACTGAAGGAAGGGAAAAGATTGGGGAAACATACTCCACGAGACTACTATGACAACATAGCCAATAAAAATAATTGAAAATACATTTCCAAATACAGATAGTTACCCATGAACATTAATTTTAAAGAATCATTAGTCTCTGTATTCTTCCCTCATTTCATTTAGCTCTTTCCTTCCTTCCTCAATTCTCCTCAGTTCCCTCCACCTTTATATTAACTTCATTCACAGGGGTAATGGCACCCATACATCAGGATCTAACTTTATTAATATTCACCTTCTCACAATGCTAAGAGGCATCCTGATATCTTGAGAAAAGCACTGAACTAAGAATCAAGGACCTGTGAGCTCTAGATCATTAATTCTTTCCACAAATATTTATTGAGCATCTCCTATATGCCAGGTACTATTCTAGGTGCCAGGGATACATTCATGAACAAAAAAGACAAAGTTTTCTGCCTTCATGAAGCTTTCATTCTGTTAGAGGGAGAGAGGGTTAGATAATAAGTAACAAATATCATAATTTTGGAAGGTGAGGATCCCAAGTGTCACCTGGGGGTGGGTGTGGGGAAAGGGCATATTGGTTGCACCTTTAAGTAGAAAGTCCTCATTGAGAAGATGAGATTTGAGCAAAGAAGGCAGTAGAGTTACCTGATGCAGAGATTCATGAGAAGAGCATCTAGACAATAGTAGCAACTATAGCAAAGGTTGTAAATGGGTGTGCGTCTAGCATGTCTGAGGAACAGCAAGACCTGTGTGGCAAAAGAGAGTAACTGAAGGGAGCATGGTAGGAGAGAAAATCTAAGATGTTAATCAGGCCAGATGATGTAGAGCCTTGTAAACTGTTATCATTAGGACTTTGGCTTTCATTCTGAGTGAGATGAGCATTCATTGAAGACCTTGTTTTTAGTAGAAGAGTGTTATGATTTCACTTGAAGTCATTTGGCTGCTGTGTTGAAAATAGATTGTAGGGGAGAAAGTATAGAATCTAGTGAACAGGTCAGGAGGATATTGTAGTAATCCTGGCAAAAGACGATGGTGGTTCAAAACAAGGTGGTGGCAGAGAAGGGGAGAAATCATTGGTTTCTGGATATATTTTGAAAGAAACAACGGGACTTCCTGTTCTAGGATGTGAAAGAAAAAGAGGAATCAGGGAATATTTCAAGAGTTGGGGCTGAGACAGTAGAAGAAGGAAGTTTCCATCAACTGAAATGAGGAAGGCTGCAGGAAGAACAGAGTTCGGGACGGGGGAGGCATGAGGGGATTGGGAATTCAGTGTTGGACTTCCTGAGATTGAAATGCCTATTAAATGTCCAAGGGAATATATCAAGTACACAGTTGGATATGAGTCTTGAGTTTGCAAAAGATTTAAATTTGGAAGTCATTAGTGTACTGAGTTATTAGTGAATCATGAGACTGATAAGCCCTCATATTCCAACCCAAATACAATTATCTGCTTATCTCTAGCCAAATTATCTAATCTCTCTACTTTTTTTTTTTAATCTCTACAATGATAAAGTTAGGTTCAATAAGTGATTTTCAACTGTGTTCCATGGAGGATGAGGGCTTCTGTAGACAGAGCTGCCAGATCAGAGAGATGTTTGTTCTCCCACTGCCTAAGCCAACCAACAGTCATTTATTTTTACAATGAAGATGAGACATCCATTTAGAGATGGTACAAATTGATATTTATGATGTATATACTACAGTGGACCAGTGTGTGTGTGTGCATGCGTGCGTGTGTGTGTGTGTGTGTGTGTGTAGAGTAACTTTCCAGATGCAGTAATGAATAGCATCTCATAAAAAATGACCCTGTATATCTCCCCATGACTGGTCAGCTATCAAAGGGCTATGTATACATAAAGGTACAGATTATCAACCGTACACAGTAATCTTAAAAATGCTTGTCATTTTAAACATGGGTTTCCTCTCTAAAAGATATTTACTGATATTTACTGAAAAACAAATTCAAAAACCAAAAGATGATATTCCATTTCTTTTAGACCCAATTAATGATAGTATTTCTGTTGACACTGAGACCATGAACAATTGATCATTTTAACTGTATGAAAGTGCATGAAGTTAATGCTTGAAAGGACTTTAGAAATTGAGGGTGTTATGCTGAGCGAAATAAGTCAGGCAGAGAAGGACAAATACCATATGTTTGCACGTATAGGAGGATTAGGAGGAACTTGACGGAGGACCAAGGGGGAGAAGAAGGGCGGAAATGGTGGGGGAAAGGGAGAGAGGCAAACCATGAGAGACTCTTGAATGCTGACAAAAACTGAGGACTGATGGATGTGGGGGGGAGGGGGGGATGGGCATGAAGGAGGGCACTTTGGGGATGAGCACTGAGTGTTATGTAGAAACTAATTTGACAATAAACTATTTGTAAAAAAAATAAATAAATAAATTAAAAAAAAAAGAAATTTGTCAAAAATCATTAGCTATCATCACAATTATTTAGAAAAAAAGATGAAGAAAAACCAGAGCTAGAAGAAATATTTTTCCAAAATATTTAGCATCATATTCAACAATATGTGTCCTGAAATCAGAACTTCCGAAAATCAAACTCCATTTCTGTCCTTTGCCAAATAGTTTGCTTGCTTTCTCTTTGCCAGTTTTCTCATTTGTAACTGTATATAATTGTCTGTCCTCAGTAATTCAATACGTCTAAAGTATTTAATAAATTTCATTTGTAAGCTCAAAAAAAAAAAAAAAAGAAACTAATTTGACAATAAACTATTTGTAAAAAAAAAAAAAAAAGAAATACTTCAGTCAAAAAAAAAAAAAAAGAAAAGAAAGAAAAGAAAAGAAATACTTGTGTCAATTACCTTAAAGGGTAATTGACAATTCCCTTAAAGGGAAGGTAATTGACGTAAGACCCAGAGGTCAAAGGTCATGCCAGAAGTGGAACCTAGGTCATTTCTGACTCCTAGTCAGTCTTCAGCACACTGCTGGTTTCAAAGTTGCTTCAGAAACACCACTGAATTTGACAATTAAGGCAGAAATTAACACTGATGTGTGATCTTTCTATTTTCTGCATGTTACAACCTTCATGTTTTCCTAATCCATTAATTTTACATTATGGGTCTTCCAATTTTTCCACAGTTCTAAGGGTCATCCTTGCTGTTGCCTTTTGCCTGGTGTCTGGTGTCCTCTTGGTGCTGCTGTTTACCCTCATCCGTCATGGGCCCTGCTGGCAAAGAGACCCCTTTCGGCACATTTGAACAGATGGCTGAATAAGGCCGACGCACCAGACCAACCTCCTGGACGCAGTACCTGTCAGTGATGCCTCATTGAAAGGACAGGCTTTCACCATGTGGACATCACCCTGCCCACACCCTTCCCTTTGAGCCTGTCAAGAGCAGGGTCTGAACCCATAGTGACCAAGGGACTGATGAATGAACCTCAGGTTACTTGGTTAGGCCTCCTGATGGTTGCACTCCTTATTGTAGTGCAGGCTTCTCATTCAGCTAGAAAGAGGTTCTTCTGCAGAGGATAGTTGTAGTCTGGCATGGATATCCAGAAAGAAAGAAGGAAGTTAAACTCCAATCAGCCTAATGCCTGCAAAGAGCAAATGGTTACAACTTGTGACAAAGACATAGATTAAAGGAGACTGGATAATGAGGACAGTTACATTAGAAATAGCATCAGGTAGGATGATTCTTAAGAAATAAGAGCCAATCAGAAGGTGTAAATAAGCTGTTAAGTAAATTGAATACAAACACGTACACACTCCTGAAAAGAAACTCCTACCCAGTGTTTGATAGCTAACAGATTTCTGTATGTGTATATATACTGACACACATACATACACTTAGCAGTATTGAAACTGCCTTAGAGAGAGGTATTTAATTCTCAGAAACTGTAATATCGACTACTGTAATTGTAGGTCAGGTCATTTTCCCCACAATTTCTAGAATGGGGAATAACTAGAAAGTCCATGAAGCCATGTTTCTTTTTTCTACCTCTACCACGAGACTACATTTTTATAGTTCCACTTTCTTTATTTCATTTTAAAAGAGATTTACTTTCATGAGAACTTTTCATGGCCATGATGAGATAATAACGTATTTAATCACCACAAATGAAGCTAAAATTCCCAAGCAGTGAAGTAGAAAGAAAAATGGGATGAAGGTTGATGATCCCCTGCCGCAGCTCTGCACTGGCCTTAGAGCAACAACTTGGAACAAGTTCTTTTAAGTCTTTTAAACCTTGGTTTAATTATCTAAAAATGAAGAGTCAGGACTAGATAAACATAGAAGTCACATCTAGTTCTCATATTCTGTGAACACTTTGTTTTTCATTTCATCTTATGAATTGGTCACTGTCCAAGCAAGCATGTTCATGAATGGTACCATTGCAGTAAGCCTGATATGTGTTCTAAACAGTCGTAACCCATGCTGAGCCTTTAACTATCCACTTGGTGGGAAATTCAATCTGATTCATCGGTAGGGATCTTCACCTTCTCAGTTATTACTAAAGGTCCTGGATGGAATTGGTGGGAAGAGTTGGATAAGGGTCCATTAGGCTGTTATCTACATTGGTCTCCAAAAAAAAACCCACTGTCTATTCCCACATGGTCTCCCGAAGGTAGGCAGAGGACATCTATGCATGGCTCCCAAGACCATGAACTTGGACTTCACCATCGTGGCATTGTCCAGTCCCCTACCTGGGACAATACCTATCAACCAGAAACCCTCCTGAAACTCCACCGCATCTCTTAGTCTCAAGAATCTTCCTCTCTCCTTGGATTCCACAGCTTTCTCTTGATAAACTTCACTTACCTCTATCACCCTCACTTTCTATGTAATTTAAACTGAGCTAAGACTATGCAAAAAACAAAAACAAAAAAATCTTGAGAGGGAGTTGTGTCCTCTTATCTGGCATCTGCTTCTTCCTCCAGTAACACAAAAGGCATGTAGGCAAAGAAATGAAAGATCTGGCTTCATCCTCAATGTGGGAAGGGGTAAAACATCTGTTAACAGGAAAAACAAATAACAAATTACTATCTCTATAAAGTAGCCAGTCATATTAGTAATGAGACCATAATATCTTATGCCAATAAGTCATGAGACTTTAAAACAGAAGTAGAAAACAGAACCACAAGTCATGGATCTTCTCATTTAACAAACATTGTTAGAGGACCTACTGTTTGCTAATCGCTGGCCTAGAAGCTAAATTGTCCATCCCTAATGTGATTATTAAGGTGTTTGGCCCCAACAACAGCCTTCTACAGAGTTGGTAGAATGTGAAAGTAAAAGCCTTCACAAGCTTTCCCTAATATCATCTTTTAATACTGTCAATGTTTAATACTTTCTATTAATACAGTGTTTAATGCTTTCTATTGTTTCAGTGGGAGGAGGTTAATATCTACCATTTCTCTTCCTTCTCCTATCTCTTGATTATTGCAAAGAAAGCTGTCACTCCCAACGGAGTTGTTTCTTTTCCCTTCCACAGAGCTACTCTGTTGATAAACACTGTAATTGGTTTTCATAGTTCAAGGCAGAGTGAAAAATCACAAGTGACAAATGATCTTTGTTGATAAAGCAGAGAGCACAGATGTACTCTAACATTCCCCAGGAAATAAGCTAATCGTCCAACTTCAACAGAAAGATATACAAATTCTCTCTACTGATAAAAGTGACTTTTTCAGATGAGTCAGAGAAGCTCAGGTGACATGAGGAGAAACACTGTTTGAAAGAAAATTGTTAGGATTGAGATAACTTCTGCTCTACAATGTATTCCCCACATCTGAACCACTATAGAGGCCTTTGAACAGGATTAGAATAACATAGTATTTACCACATCAATGTAGGGAAACAGACTACCATAAAAAATATCATCAGTATATATGTAGAAAAGTTTTAAGGAAGTTGAGGTAGAGTATTCCTAGCTAAAATGGTATTGCATAAAGAAAGCATTAAGAAAATATGATTATAAAAAGAAGAATTTGTGGTATTAGAAGAGTACAAGACTTAGAAGCAAACATTTTGTTGGAAGTCATTCAACCAAGAAACCTTTTTATGTGAGAACTGGCATTTCTACTGCCTGAATTCAGTCATGGTCTCTGTTTTCCCAACTTCCTATTCTCTTTCGTCTTGTTCTTATATTGCTAGCATTGATTCTCTCTTCATAGCCAGGGGAGCTTCTTGGTAACTGAAAACCAAAATACTAGTTTTCTCCTTCAGAACTCTTTTTATAGAAACCCCATTGGAGCAGTAATGAATGTGTGCTACATTTTGGTGCCTTGGACCAGGAATGTCGAGTAGAAACATAATGCAAGCCATGAATAAGTCCCATATATGAGATTTAAAATTTTCTAATAGCCACATTATAAAAAGGAAAAATTAATTCTAATAAAATTTATGTAACCCAGTGCACTGAAAAAAATCACTTCAACACATCACTAATATTTATTGAGTTATTCGTCAGGTTTTTTATAGTAAGTACTTGAAATCTGATGTGTATTTTACCCTTCTAGTACATCTCAATTTGGAGTAGGTACAAGTCAGGTTTCAGAAGCTATATGTGGCTGGTGGCTACCATATTAGACAGTTATACTTTTTACCAATGACAAAGTTTTTGAAGCAGAAAGAATGTTTTGTGTTTGTTTTTTTGTTTTTTTAATTTGCAAGATTCACTTTCAGGTTATGGTGAAGAAAAGAAAGTCATCTTTTATGTGCCTACATCTTACTATTTTTGTGTGTGCTGAATTGATCAAGGATTTTTCTGAAATGTTTTATTTGTAGACCTATCTTCACAGCAACACCCCAAATATTTCCAAAACTATCCTATACTAAATGAGCTATTTCTTCTTCTTTTAAAATGTCTAAAGATGGAATGTGACAACACACCTTAGAAGTTCTGCAAGATTGGAAGAGGGGTATTTTTAAAATTTTTTATTAAATTTTTTATTATAAGAAATTGTATTTAAAACAAAAATAAATTCAGATGATACAGAAGAGTATAAAATACAAGATAAAATGTCTTTTTACCCATTTCTAATCATCAGAGACAATCCTGTCAACAATATCTGGTTTTAGTTATTTTGGTGACTAGCATGAATTTTATGAACTATACTTATACCTAGATTTTCTGAAATTTTACATCTTTCCCTGCTTTTATAACCCATGGTGTCCTCTTTCTTGTATTATTTTTTTCATTTTCTTTAAGTAAGTTTTTAAAGGACACTTGAGCACTAAGCTTTCTGATTCTGATATGGCCAAGTATGTGTGTATTTTGCCCTCCCACTTACCTATCAGTCAGCAAGGTATACACTTTTAGGTTGAAAATCATATTCCCCCAGAATGTGAATGTAGTATTCTGTTGTCTTCTTAATACACAGGCCTGTTGATGAGAAGTCTGATTGGTATCATTCTCATCCAATGTAAGTAATCTGGTATTGTTTATTTCATTTCTTTTCTTTTTTTCTTCTGAAATTTTAAAAAGATATTTGTTTTATTCATGGAATTCTGAAATTTCACTAGGATGTATTTAGGCATGGGTATTTGTTTTTCTGTCTAATTCTGTCTGGCGTATACAGGTCTTTGACTTAAAAAAATTGTATTCTTGAATTTCCTGGATCTATCTTTATTGCTTCAACTTTTCTCACATATTTTCCAGATTTTTATTTTATTTCTCTACATTATAGGAAATTTTATTTCCAGAACATGAACTCAGTCTTCAGCAAATCTGTTATCTTCTCTTCTTGTTATTATTATTTTAAGAATACTTTCCTATTCATTGATTGTTCCTTTTTGATAATGGCCACTTCTTATTTTATGAATGCAATCCATTCTTGAATATCTTTAAGAATCCTACTTGGAATTTTTTTCAAATTCTCCTCTGCTCCCTATATTATCTCTGTTTCTCTGGGCTCAGTTGTTGAAATGTATTAATCCTGGACCTTCTTTTAGACTTGGGTTTTTCTCAGGTACTCATGAATCACAATCTACAAATAAAGAACTCTGTGCATTAGTGGGGATGGCTGGTCTTGGTTTCCCTTTTAGTCATGAATATCTGTTTTCCCAACAAATGTCTTTTTAAATAACTGCTTTAAAATTTTCATTTGCTAAAAAAAAAAAAAAAAAAAAAAAATTCGTTTGCTAGGGGCACCTGGGTGGCTCAGTCAGTTAAGCATCCGACTTCAGCTCAGGTCGTGATCTCACGGTTAATGGGTTGGAGCCCCGCGTCGAGCTCTGTGCTGACAGCTCAGAGCCTGTTTCAGATTCTGTGTCTCCCTCTCTCTCTGCCCCTCCCCTGCTCAGACTCTCTCTCTCTCTCTCTCTCTCTCTCTCAGAAATAAGTAAAAAACATAAAAACAAAATTAAAAACAAAATTTTCATTTGCTAGTTGCAACATCTATGTCATCTCTGGACCCATCTTAATTGTCTTTTCTCCTATATATGGGTTACGTTTTCCTGTTTCTTTGAATGTAGAGTAATTTTGGGCTGTGTCTTAGACATTGTGAATGTATATGTGGTAGAGACTCTGGATTTCATCGTGTTCCTCAAGAAAGTTGTTTTTCTTAAGCAGTCAGTTAAATTGGCTGAAATCAAACTACAGTTTCCCCTGCAATGGACAGCAACTCAAATCTCAGCTCAGTTCTTTCAGCCTAAATTAGGCTGCTTGGAGTCTTCCCTGTATATAGTTAGGTAAGCTATGGGGGTCAGCCCCCTCTAGTTGGGTAGTTTATACATAGAACTTGGGATTTCTCTCCTCTGGCTTTCAATTTGGGGGAATTTCCTTTTCACTTTTAAGAGGCTATGGGTGTCCCCCTCCCAAACTCTTTCCTCTGGTACTTCAAGTGGGTAACATTATGTTTTGTTTTGTTTTCTCCCTATGCTAACCATCCGGAACCCACACTCTGCCCCTGCATGGCACAAGCCTGAGGCTGCATTTGGACTAAAGGCCATAAGAAAATAAAACTAACCTAATAGCTCTTCCCTTTTTCCAAATGCTGATTCCCCTCCAGAATGTGCTTGCTTTTGATTGCTCCCAAGTACATTTAATTAGTTGTATTTTATATTTTTCCCCAAGAGTTTACAGTTGTTATCTGTGGAAATTACCCTGATAAGAGGTGCATAATCATAGAGGTGCCTGGGTGGCTCAGTCGGTTAAGCGTCCGACTTCAGCTCAGGTCATGATCTCACGGTTCGTGGGTTTGAGCCCCGTTTCGGACTCTGTACTGACAGCTAGCTTGCAGCCTGGAGCCTGGAGCCTGTTTTCAGATCCTGTGTCTCCCTCTCTCTCTGGCCCTCCCCTGCTCACGCTGTCTCTCTCTCTCTCTCTCTGCCTCTCTCTCTCTCTCAGAAATAAATTAAAAAAAAATTAAAAAAAAAATTTTAAAGGGGTACATCATCATAGTTGGAAGTGAATGCTCTCATTTGAATGGGAAGGCCTCATCTGAATTTCTGTGTAAGGGTGAGAACTATAGCGTTGGTGAGCAGTAGTGTCTGTGGGCAAGAAAGTGGCATGTCAGCTAATGACATATCAAAAAATTAAGACTTTACTCTTGGCTGGGGTGACTATTTCTGTGTATGTATCTCCTGGGTGGAATGGCCTTAACTTTAAATTTTTTTCACTTCACTCTCTCTTTAAAATAAAATAAAATTTTAAAAAGGGGATCTGAGTGGCTCAGTTAGTTGAGTGGCTGACTCTGGATTTTGACCCAGGTAATGATCCCAAAGTTGTGAGATGGAGCCCTGTGTCAGGCTCCACACTCAGCGTGAAGGCTGCTTAAGATTCTCTCTCCCTTTGCCCTTCCTCTGCTCATGCATGCATGCATGCACTTTCTCACTCTATGAAATAAAATAAATATAATTTAATTTAAAAATAAAATAAAATTTCATTCCATGTCTCTGATGTAAGTCCTGAGTTATCTCTACATCCACTCTGTTTCTCCCTCTGGGCACAGCAGCCACACAAGGTGTCCTCCCAAATGAGCACCCCTTTCCAAGATTTTATCTGGGGTGGGTGGGGGGTGCAGTCACTCTATATATGGAGAAAGGAGTGGGATGTGCAGCTGATAGAGAATCCTTTCCTTGGTGATTTGGATAAGTACTTCACAGCTCCCTAATGATCTATGTGATGAGCCAAGCTCCCACTTTCTCTGTGGCTCCCTCAGAAAGAACCATGTTCATCTCTTGTGGGTCTGACTACAATTTCCCTGTTTTGACTTCATCTGTTCAATCATATCTGTCTATCTTTGAAGAATTTCTTAAAATATCTGAACTGCCACTGTTACTTTCTGTAGCACTGTCAATGATTTCATTCTTATTTTTAACATCTTTTATATTATTTCAGTACAACAGTGGGAGGAAGGAAATCAGGTGCAAAGGATTTTTTCCCCTAAACAGGAAACCCCAAGTTTGTTTTTATTAGCAAAGGGGTCTCTAATTGTGTCTCTCAAAGTTAAGAAAGTTAGCCAAGCCATTCAGTGAAGTTGACAAAAAAAAAAAAAAAAGACTTAACACTTTGTACACAATTTAATTTAATCTCACCAACATTTGCTAAGTGCCTGCTCTTAGAATGAAGTAGGGTCCCTAGTTTCTCTCATAGTTTTCAAAGGGAATCTTAGCTCAAGGAAAGGTTAAGTACCACTGTGCCATGATTTGACATAGGGGATACATTACTGAATTATTTATAGCCCCTGCCTTATGTATGAGCTACACATGTCCGTGTAGCTGGGGACCTGGAACAGGACATCTGTAGAGAGAGGTAGGGTCACAGGAGGGGGTTATTGGGGGTACATGTAGCTGCCTTACCGAAGCCATCACCTCCACAAATGCACATATTCCCCATGAAAGCAGAGCTGGAGAAATCTGTACTGGGTAGTCAGAGTAGGGGGTGTGCAGGATGGTCAGAGCTCCCTTCAAAAAGAGACACTTGATGGCTGGAGAAGTTGATATCCCACCAAGCAGCTAGTCCAAATTGGGGCCGACTGTTGCCAACTTAAACCTGCAGACTCAAAAGGATTTTGGGGAGTTGGCCTCCCACCTCCCTGTAAGCCAGGCAGGTGGTGGGGGGCTCATTCCAGGGCATCACAGGCCTGGCGTGCCCCCTTAGTCTAAGGCCAACGACAAGGTGTGGTTTACACATGCACATACCACGCAGTTCAGGGTAGCCAGGGAGCTGGAACTGCACAGGTATAGGGGTAAGCTGGCTCAAAAGAGATGGCTGCTTAGGGTATCTGGCATCTTGCTAATTCTAGTCTTAACCCACATATGCACATATTCTCCCTGAAGGTAAAGCTGGAGGAATCTAGACTACCTTGCCAGTGGGGGTCTGGAGGGCTGTCAGGGGGAGCCTTCAATGAGACATACCTGGGAGCCTTGATTAGTGGTATGCCCTGGACCCTATCAGGCTGCGCCCAAATGGGGACTGCCTGTGGGCAATTTAAATTGCCTCTTCAGAAAGAATTTTGGATGGTGTGCTCCCTCTGCCCTGGAGGCTAGGTGGATGATTCAGACTGGCTGGAATCCACAGGCCCTGAGGGCTCAGGATTCCCAAAGCAGGCTGAGGAGCTGTGTGCTGTGCCCCCCAGGTCAGCGTAGCTGAAGAAGAGGCCAGGTCTCATGGGAGTGTGCCGTTGGGGGTACAAGGTATGTGCCTAATTCCAAGTCATAACCAACATATATGCATATACAGGCATACCTCAGAGATACTGGGGTTCAGTCCCAGTTCCCATAGTAAAGCAAATATTGCATTAAGGCGAGTCAACTTAATTTTTTGGTTTCCCGAGGCATATAAAAATTATATTTACACTATGCCGTAGTCTATTAAGTGTGTAACAGCATGATGTCTTAAAAAAACAACAGTGTATATGCCTTAAAGAATACTTGATTGCTAAAAAATGCTAACCATCATCTGAGATTTCAGTGAATTGTAACCACTGTTCACAGATCACCATAACAAATATAACCTGAAAACCTGAAAAGGTTTGAAATATTGTGAGAATTACCAAAATGTGACAAAGAGACGCGAAGTAAGCAAATGATATTGGAAAGATAGCATCAGCACCGGCAGATTTGTTCAATGCAGGGTTGCCACAAACTTTCAGTTTTTAAAACACAGTATCTACAAAGTCCAATAACATGAGTTATGCCCGTATTCTTAAGATTCTTTTCTGCTCCTTTGATTCAAGAATATACAGGAATATACATTCAAGAATGTATATTCAAGAATATACATTGGTTTGATTCAAATTAGATTCTCTATAAATACTTGTTGATTGACCCAACCAATATTACTGTGGTGCTGACTGTATCACCATTTGATGAATTTCAAGCTGGAGGGGTTTCATGAAGCCCCGCCTCAAATTCATTGATTATAGGGGCATTCCCAAAGTATAACTAAACTAGCAGTTCTTAGACTTCAGTGTGCTGAAGAATCTACAAGGATGCTTGTTAAAGATTCAGATTCCCAGTCCTCAATCCCAGAAATGCTGATCTAGTAAACCTAGAAATCTGCCTTTTTAGGTATCACACCTGATTCTGCTTAGGCAATTCCTGACCTTCCTTTGAGAAACCCTGCTCTAAACTATGCAAGACCCTGTCAGGGTGAGCAGAATACTCACCTGCTACTTCAGGTTTATCTACTTCATCAAGAGTCTGTGAAGTAACTCAAAGGTCTAAAACATTGCCTTCATTAAATAGGCATTGAAAATGTACTTTCAAAATAAGAGTCAAAGAGGGGCACCGACTAAGCCACCCAGGCGCCCCCGAAATGTAGTTTTAATAAGTCTTGCCTGAAGAATGGAAGAAATTAAAGAATTAAGGCTTATTAACATTGTGGTCTTGAGAACAAAGAGCAATGGCTCCTCAGAAAGGTCAGCCATTCTCAGCACCTGGGTGGCTTAGTTGGTTTAGCATCTGATCAGCTCAGGTCTTCTGGTAGTGATCTCATGGGGCTCGTGAGTTTAGTCTCACTACTGTCAGTTCAAAGTCCCCTTCTGATCCTCAGGCCCAGGTAAGTAACATATGA